ACTTGACCTGTGACAAATCTCTTCAAACCAAGAAATTCCACAGACAATTCTCTTCGAGTAGAAAAAGTTAACAAAAGTTTTACATTGGTAGATTTTCTATCCTCCAAATTCCTGTGGCTCCTTTCAGTCGAGGTTAACATCGCTCTTTTGTGTGGAACCATGAAGAGATTGTCTCTGAGAATAAATTGCGTTCGGACCTGTCCGCTTCTGTGTGAGGAAAGGCGAGCGACGTATCAGCAGCTGATTGGCTTTATCAACACACATGAAAAAATACGATATTTTTTCACGTGTGTTGTTACGGCTTTTCACAGGGCCGGAAATCCCTGTATAACACTGCAGTTTATGTGATAAATAGTAGAAACCCATCAAGCCGAAAAAATTTGGACTTACAACCGTTCGACCGTATGTGCAACGAACTACGTTAAGCATGCGCGGGCAACTGCATTGCGGGCACTATCTTAGCCATTACGTAATGGATGGGCGAAGGATAAGGTAATGCCTAGGTGCTATTGCATGCGTAACTTGAATACCCCACCAGTGTGCGCCAGGAGACACCGCTTTAAAACCCTCGCGCCGGTTCATTGTTCAAATAACATTTCAAAGCGTTCGTATTCTTCAACTTATTTCTTGTCCTATCGTTTGGAAAGTTTGATACAGTCGTGGTGTTAAGGGAAAGAAGTTATCTTATGTGTTGTGTTTTCCCTAGAAAGGTTTTAAAATGATAGCGAACGGCGCGCGCAAGTTTTTATCATTCTCTCTTCAGTTGGCTACCGCAGGGTTTACTTTATTCATTTAAAAAAATCGCGCTTTGTCGAAGATGTGTTGTTTTACCCCAAGAACGGAGAAGTGGCCTTTCCCAAAATTGAAATAAAATAAGATTGAGTCAGCGATGTTCATGTTCATATTAAGTCTGGCGCGGTAATTTGATTTTTGAGAATAATGTCATGTGAGAACCCGTCAAACATTTGCGAATGGAGTAAGTCCTACAGTGGGATGAGTGAATTTCATTGTTTAGTCGTAATAATTTTCAGCGCTACTTTTTCATGCTTTCTACTCGATTCGTTCGTACTTCAGGAAATGGTTTGTCTCACAAAAAAAGGAGCCACTATCTCACTTTTTCAGTCCATTGACGTCACCCGGCTGGCAAGAACAGCAACAATGTCAGTAAAACCAACAACAAGAACGTAGTGTTTTAGACTAATAAGTTTTCACCCAACATGCGGCACTGCTTGTTTTTGTTGTACCTAATTCCAAACTAAAATTCATCCATTAAGCAACTATTTCAGAAAACGATGTCATCTGAGTAGTACTGCAACGCTCCATCGCTCTCAAAACGCCTTGTGAGTAGCACTGGAATTTTCGCCCACGTTTTGGACAAATTTCTTCTATGATTTTTCCTTAATTTTTGGCCATACTTTTTCATTAATTCCTCGACAATGGCTAGTTGGGGATTCTGAGAAGTCATTGGTTCCAGGTTATGATAATGAAACTCAGCTATGGCCTCAGCTTCATGGCCAAGTAAGGCCATATCCCCGGTGGCTTGCACTTCGTTTTGACAAACAGCAGGATAGATAACTTTCAATCCCGTCTCTCCTAAGCTTGATACTATCGTCACTGGGATTTAGAGCATGCTGATGAGGCCCCACAAAGCAATCCAGTCACCCCATTCACCTTCCATAGTCATTCTTCGCAGATGAGTGTCCCATGCCCCGAGATTGATAAATTCACTGAGATGAGTTCCATCTGGGTGGCTGGATTACTTCTGAGATAATTCACCAGGTCAGAGCGTAGTTTTGTGGAAGTCTGAGATGCTCTTCCGAGGCGAAGTAGCTGGTCATACATTGCATGAAACAAACTGTTGCCATCTTTGGGGGTTGGGGGCCGGCGATAAGCAAGTCCTGCATTCCCCACCTCTTTATCCAACCAGTTTTTAGGGGATTCTCTGTTGTCAGAAGCTTGCTGGCAGTCTGCCATCCTCTGAAAAACTTTGGGTAAATCGTTTTCAGCGCGTAAAGCTGACGCAAGATTTAATAAATCGCTCGCCATTTCATCCCGAGGCTCTCCGTTGAGAGTAAGGCCGGAATGGTTGCCTCTCGACAACAAACAAGTGTTTTGCAAAAAGGCATGTGAATACACCACAGTCGGTATCATTCTTTGCTTGGGACATTGAGGTGTTATTATTATTATTTTCCTGGAAGATAGTTTTATCCTCATCAGAAAGCCACTGAAGTTCGTCTGTAATAAATTCTTCTTTGATGGTATCAAAAATTGTTCGGTACGTCGCCGTAGTGCATCTAGCGGAATCGTAAATGTAAAGGCATGAATTAAGAACACTTATAAGGACCAGCAGCCAGTGGCTTTCAGTAGAAAGGTGTACTGGAACCATTATTTGTTCATACTCCCACAGAGCGTTGTTGCCTATATTTTTTGAGTATGTAGATGTTTCGACCGATCGATGCAATGAAGGTAAAAGTAGGAACTTGCAAATCCCCAGTTCCCTCCTCCAAATTCCCGATTATTTCTCAAAAATTCAAAATACAAGTTACCAGTGTCACCATTAAGCTTTCCGAGGAAGATATCTGATCGATGCTGGCTTCTAACAAACTGGCGTTGTCTGTTCTTGCTCGCTTCGCTGGTTGACCTGGGGAATCGGCTTCATGGCCTGTGCAAGTATCATTTCGTCTCCCACTGTTGCTCTTTGCCTTTTGCTGCCGGTCATTTTCTTCTTCTTTTGTTACTGAGGTAATATCATCTCCTTTAAACCACCTCGTTTTGCTCTTAAGTGTCACGAGATCACTTTAGCTGATAAAGTATTTGTGCATAGAATGATTAGCCTCAAGGATCACCCCTTCACAGGTGTTCTATAGCGAGTTTTTCTTTCCCTTAACTAATTTCTTTGAGACAGGGACTCGAATCAAAACGGTTTCTCCCTTGTAATAGAGTGAAGGTGGATCTCGCCTTAACTCCCGCTTTACCATCATCCTACGAAGCCTTATTAGACGCATCCAGAGCTTTCTGCATGACAGAATTGCGTTCTATTACTAGCTCTGTTAGTTCATCCGTCTTGCATTCATCCATTTCAATACTCTGGCTGTTTTCTTCTGGAACTTCATATTCTTTCTTTCCCCCAAGAAACAGTTTATTCCGATACTTATTGGGCTTTCTACCGATGTACACTTCAAATGGAGAAAGCTGCCTAAGAGAACGATGTGGTGATTCATTATAGAGTTGCTGGTATTGTTGCAGATACTCCACCCAGTTGAGATCACCATTGTTGTCGTTAATTAAATCAAACTTTATTTTTTCCTTCCACGTTCTGTGTGAGCGCTCGTCTTTTCCTTTGGTCTGGGGACTGTATGCGGAGCTTTTAATCATGCGAACGTTTAGCGTTTCACAAACAGTCTTTACTACTCCCTTAAATTCTGGACCTTGGTCGCTTTGCAAAATTTCTGGAGGGCCGTGTTCGATGTAAATGTCTAAAAGATGTTCCACCACTTCACTAGTCTCTTTTGTTTGAAGAAGGCGTAAGAGAAGAAATTTACTGAAAAGCTACTGAAAAAAGACGACATGGATAACAGTGATGGTAAAGCAAGCTTAAAACAGCAGAAATCGCCAGAAACTACGAGGGATACACAGGGCATGAGTAAGTTTTATCGATTTTACTAGTAAAATATTCATATTTCGAAATATTTATCGTTGTAAATCGACCATATTTCGTTCCCCATACTATTCCTTATAACGTGTTCAAATTTTCAACGGTTCCTCCCGTAACTTAACACCGAGTCACACAACGCGTGACGCGTTTATGAATTCATCGTTGGGCGGCCTGTGGTAGTACGCACGATCCACAAGCTGAGAAACACTCGACTTTTCCACCACATTGCAGTTAGTTGCCTTTTCTACCATTCGTTTCTTCGGCTGTCCAACTGTCGGATCATGGATTTCTTTTACGACATAGATGTCGCTCTGTAACTTCCGATAAACCCGTTGCCTTAACCTTTTGTCACCTTTCTTAGGCCAATAGTGCAGTGATTTCTCTCCAATTAAGATGTATAGTGCATCGTATAAGTCATCGTCCAAAGGCAGATTTTTTCGCTTTGAGGCTAAGGGAGAGTTTAGCCTGTTAAATTCGCAATTTACTTTTCTATTAAAAAAATCCACCCTTAATTTTTTTAACCTTCCTCTGATATGTAAGTCCATGCTATTCCTTATTTTTTGGTCGGGATCATTTGCGGTCCCCATTGGGCATTATTTCCGGTCCGGGATCATTTGAGGACCCGTACAGTTCTCAAATCGGGCTGTTGATGACCAATCCCGTTCGAGAATTTTGTCATAGTTTTGATTAATTCATGAGAGCGTCATGAAAATTTGAACACGTTATAAGGAATAGTCGAGGGAACGAAATATGGTCGATTTACAAGAGGGTAGCAAAGGGTTTTTGCGTGACGCATGATGGCCCCAAAATTTAACCTTACAAGATACACTTCATGTGTGGTCCCGAGGGAAATAATTGGTTTTGTTTTCCCGAGAAACATCAGGACTCTCTGGAAACAAAACTAACTAGTTTCCCTCGGGACCAAACATTAAGTGCTTTGTTATATATTTAGACTTTCCCTTAAACAATCATATGACAAAAACATGCTGTTGTATTCGGCGAGCGGGCAACAACTACAATTGTGTCCCGGTCGGGATACATTTGAACTTGATTAAGGGCTCGTGACTAAGAATCAACCAATCACAGTGCTCGTTTTGTTTAGTGAAAGTCTTGGAAAATAACAATGATAAATATTTCTAAATATGAACGTTTTACACGTAAAAATTAGTAAAATTTATTCACATCCTCCGTGTCCGTTGTAGTTTCTGGCGATTTCTGCCGTGTTAGGCTTGCTTTTCTATCACAGGTGTGCCCTGAAAAAAAATTTCTTAATTCTGCTCAAGCGTGGGCGAGTGCCTGTCAGTAAACATCCCATCGTACACCGCTCACTTTCTGTCTTCAAGGCTGGGCAGCAGGCTCAAAGTGAAACGAAAATGTTTTTGCCACTGATTTGTAGTTTATGGCTTTTTGCTACCTCCTCTTCGGGTATTGAGTACTCAAACAATTCATTATGTAAAGATGAAAACTACGAAGTCCATTGGAGGTTCGAAAACAATACAGAAACTTTCTATTTTAAAGTAAGGGCAAAAGCTACTGGCTGGATTGGATTTGGCGTATCGAGATTACTATGGCCTGAAAACGAAACATTACGGTGGAATATGTATTCCATGAGACATTACGATGTTCTTGTTGGCGGTGTTGACGATAGTGGAAAAAAGTATTTTAAGGTTAGTTTTTACGTTCGTTTGTTCCTGTCTTCACAATGTCCTTCCCATGTTTTATTGATACCCGAAAATCGACTGCAATCTCAACGGTATCTGCGAGAACGATTTTATTGTTAAAAATACTGGCAAACCATTTCTGCAGCGTTACTTGTTTGTGACTTATTAAGTGAGTTGAACTAAGTTAAGAAATCGGTCTTTTTTTTTTCTGTTGTTGTTTTTGCATGTGTGTTTAATTGGCGTGAATGTGAAAGTACCTACCAGTTCTTATTTTGTATTCATCGGTTGCAACATTAAAGTACAGTCGAACCGAGAAACGTTCAAGTTACTGAGGTGTACCGTTGAGAACAGATTGATAGAGATGAAAAAAATGTTGTTAACTGTAGTTCTGTTCATGTGGTGTACATTTTTATTAAATCTAATAATAATGTAGTGAATATGGGTTTTACCATTTCTGCATCCTTACACGATTGTGACTTACTAGGCGGGATGAACTTAGTCAAGAAATCGGTCTGGTTTTTTTTTTGTTTGTTTTTTCGCTACGTTTGTTATATTGGGCGTGAATATGAAAGTACCTGCCAGTTCTCATTTTGCAACATGAAAGTACTGTCGAACTGAAGAACGTTCAAGTTACTGAGGTGAACAGTTGAGAGCAGATTGCTAGAGATTAAATAGATTTCATAGAGAACTTAGGCAGCAAACCTGTGAAAAGATTCATTGCACTGAAATTACACGTACCCTAATTTAGGTGAACACTTTCTCAAACCGATACATTTTGTGATTAGCAAACAATACCTTTGGCTGTTTATGGTTAATTTGTGTTTTGGACCATATTACCTCACTGACTATTTTCACATGTTATGTACTGATAAACACTCTTCAAGTCTCAAGGGTAAGATTATACAGGAAATGTCTGGAATGGAAAATGAAAACAATCAAGTTGGTTGATATGAGATTGTAATGGTTACAGTTATGAGGAGTGAACTATTTAATTAAAAACTAAACAACTTCGTTGGTTTCTGACCAGAATTTAGCTCAGAAAAGCCACACAAGAATTTTGAAAGGTTAAATTCATCGATTTATTAACCCTTTACCCCCTAACATCAGTATCCATATTCTCCATACTATTCACTATACATTTCCCAAGGTGTTGACAAAGAGAATTTGTTTGATAAGCAAGAGCTGCTTTGGTTGGTGATCCTCTATTCTCATTACCTTAATGTTTGATTCAAAGTTGTTATTGTAAGAAGAAATTGGATGCTAGTCACTCTATGGGGTTAAAGGGTTAAAGGAGTTTTATTGCTACATTTAGTGTCCAATTCTTTTAACCTATTGACATCTGATGCGCCCTCATGGGCCTGGAAACAAAACCCCTCTGAAATTTCAATGTGCCCACATGCACCCTGTCAGAAATGGCTTGTTTTGATTGGTTGTAGCTAAGAAACAAAACTCTCCTGGGTATTGGAAAGAAGTGGAACATGAAATGCAAGACATAAGCTTTCATTTGAGACCAAACTCACTATTCCACATTCACTGTGCAATTTTTCACAAATTTTTCTTGGTCTTGGACATGGCTTCTGGAAGAATTGATGAAAGTCAATTTGGCAAAATCTCTGCACACCCCCATACTTCATTATGCATCCATACATGGGGCTTTTTTATTCAGTGTATCATTATTAAGATGTGCTTACATAAGGAAATATGGGGCTGTGCGGAAATTTTTCTGAAAATGCAAAAAAAACATCGCTGTACATCATGAAGTTGAGTCAGTTCTCTAGCTTTAGAATTTTTTTGAGAGAGCCTGATGCTCATGTTGAAAATAAAATTTGACAGAGAGAAAGTATATTATTTTACATGCAACTTTGTGAAGTTTCCCTTCAGTAGAGTAAATTGAAGACATTAAAATCTTAAATTATTTTGCCAGTGGTCTGTGTGTTCACTGTGGCAGCCATTTTCTCTGGAATTTCAAAACATGGAGCTGAGTCAAAGCTATTATGCCATCTTCCAATGTGCACAATGTACAACCATTTCCTGGACTTCATGTAGCTTTTTTCATTGTTTGAAAGTGAAATTTCAGAACAAGTGAGTTGGCAGGTAGCTACAGAAGAACCAAAGGAACATTTTTAAACATGCCAAGTGACATTATTTTACCATGAGCAGAGATGAAAATCTCCAAAGAGAAAACAAAATGAACTGTTAAATTTCTGAAGGTTTTCACACACAGTCAGATTGTAAGCCTACATACATAGTTGAATGATGGTTAGTATTCAAACATGTGTGATGGTTGAAACTATCGTCAGCTGTCATGACTGTTTGAATGGGGCTTTATGAAAAATGATAAAAAGCCATGTACTAACTCTTGCTCTAACCAAACAGTAAGCATAAGAACACAGTCTTCCTCGCTTTCTACAGGAAATGCAGCTTGCTTTTAATAAAACTTAAGACACTAAGTGTTCAATGGCTGTTTTTGATTCTCTCTTTTTGTTTAAGCCTTGGTGAGCACGTTTATGCCCTATGAATTTAAAACCTTTGTAAAAAAGTTCAGAATGTGATTTATCTGTGTTATTAACACATGTGCAATTTTGATTTTAAAGTTTGATATCCAACTAGCATTGAGAGGAAAATATTTGATAATTTTAGTTCAGCATAAAGTTGCTTGAAAATTAAGTAGCTGACAATGTACTTCTATGCATAATGAATGTATGTAGAACATGCAAAACAAGCATAAAAAGGAAACTGTGAGTGAAAGAATGAATCTAACAAACTAAGACTGCAGATGTGAAAAATAAAAAATGGTGAATACTCTAGTACTAAATTAAAAGTGACTATTATTTTCCATGGAATTTATTTATTTGTTCTGTAAATTTGACTAGGAATTTGTAATTGTATTACACTCCTCAACCAACTGAAATAATTTTCATTTTGTTTGGAATTGCATTTATAAAATGCTAGAGTAAGCTTTGTGACATTACTTTGCACTGAAATTTTAGCAGCTGGGTTGCGTACATATATTAACTATTTTTTCATTTGGCTTGGTTCACTGAATGTATTCGTTGATTTTTTGAATATGTCATTGATTCATTGAATATATCAGTAATTACTGGTTCACAGAGTTTATTTATTATATGGACGTGAGTGTCTTATTAAGATTTAAAACACATATAGAATCAATATGACCATTACATCAGGGAACTGAATGATGTATTTTCCTATGTAACTTGAGTGACAATTATAGTTTTAAAGGAATTTCTCAAAAGTTGGGATGAGATAAGGTGAATTTGTTCTGTTCGCGCTGAATAGCCTTCAAAGGTTTGTAGTGAAAAGAGCTTAAATAAAAGTATCTGTTGATTCAAGTCAGAGTCAGTAATCAAATTTTTATTATTTTAAGCTTATATTTTTGTCTAACTGATGGTGTTACATGTAAACCTTTGTATAATTTGGGCAGAGAGTCTTTTGTTTCTTTTAAAACTTAGTATTTGTATACAGCCTGCTTTTCAATCCCTATTAGGTATATTTAACCACTATTGTTACTTTACTATCCATTTAATGAAAAGGAAATGACACCCTAACTCAAAGATATGAATTTTATGTTCTTGTGGCACAAATAATATCTCACTCAGGACTGAGATATCATACATTGATTGACCAATTAAAAGTCTAATAATGCTTGGTTCTCTGTAAATTACATGGCCTAACATATCTTTTAATGTGCTTGCCATCTCTCTCTTTCTTGGGTAAGGTAGATTTTGTCTTAGACTTGGAAGGGATAAACAATGTGTATTATTGATGAAGCTCAGCTCCAAAATTTAGAGTATAAGCAAGTTGGCCCCTTTTCTTTAAATGCCCCCAAGCATCTTGTTTGTACAAGTATGGTATGACTCTAATGGGCTAACTTTTACTAGGATTTTATGACAAATGGACATGTGGCTCCAAAAGAAGATGGTCACGCAGACTGGAACGTCTCAAATATAATTGAGAGTAATGGTACTACAACGATGGAATTCTCTCGGAAGAAAGATACTGGTGATGCTAATGATGACAATGTCATTGAGGTGGGTTAATTAGTTAGATCACTTCCTCTAAAGTTTGGTAGATTGAAAGATACCCCCTATATATAAACAATAGCCTCCATTTGGTGCAAAAATATGTACTGATGTTTGTCTGTGGACATTATTAGTTCCAGGATGCGAACACTTTTCAGAAAACAAAGCTCAAGGAAAACTGTGAACTTTGAGGAGCAGATAATGTCTAAGGACAAATATACAAGCATATTTTCATGGTGGAGGCTATTGTGTTTATTATCCCTCAAATATTTTTACAATGTGCAGGAAACATGTTAAAAAGAGAAACTAGGAAAACTATTGATAGAAAACTAAGTATGGGTAATTGAACAGGGCCAAGAAAAATTAAGGATTAATATCAAGGGTGTTTTGAGAAGTTGTATATCTGCATTAATTTTGTAATGACATCACCCTGTATTGCATTTGGAATAAAATCTGCTTTGGACCTTTGACATTTTTCTCCTTTCATGGAGGTTATTAAGTTGACTGTTGGGCTGAAACCCCCTGGCCATAAGGGGAAAGAGGTATTTGTGGATTTGATATATATGTAGATTTCCTTATGAAGTTAACTTTGTCAGTGTGAAGTCTATGCTTTTAAGGTTAGTCAATCACACCTGATAAGATTTATCATTCACATGTCTATTGAGTCAAAGTATTTTTCAACCTTGGAAATATAAGAGCTTCTCAAGCACAGGATTAAATTTATTTATCATTGCTTTCTTCAAACATATTGGTTTGTCTTCTACTGAATCTTGCAGCATCGTGCAATTCTTTTCAACTCTAGGAAAAGATAGAGCTTAGGTATTCAGTTAAAGTCTGGATAGGCTGGGTACAAAGGGACTTACAAAACCCAAAGGATTCAATACCTATACCTCAGTTTTAGATGACATTACAAGTTTGTTATCATGGACAGTATCTTACTCATTGTTGTTACGTAATATTGACCTGAAGTTCATTGTTTTTCAGCCTGGTCTGAGAAGGATGGTGTGTGCTTACCATGATACTGTTGATTATAACATATCTATGAGCAAGTTTACAAAACACACATGGAATGGCTATGAAGATATTGAATTTATTGAGAAACCAAAGGAAAAAGCTGTGCTTGCCTATCGTGCAACCGAACCACCAACCACTGGGGCCAGTACACTAGCTGTGTCTATTGTGGGCCACTTGTTACTTATTGTTATTGCAGTCATTTTCTTCTACTAGATCATGATGATGAATCGTCTCCTTTTGCTTCTTGCCTATGTTGTTGTAGCATCAGGCATTAAAGAAGAAAGATCTCGGGATCTATGTTCATCTGATGCCCTTAAAGATTGGAATGATAGAGAGAAAGAGAAACCCTTCACTGGTGCACATAATCATTTTAAATTACAATCATGTACAAATAATCTGTTAAGATTAAAAATTCCTGATTTTGCTAACATGTTAATATATCTTAAACCTCTTTAGACAATTTTGGAATTGAGGTAGGTCAACTTCTGAAAGACATGTTGACTATTAACATGTAGCGCACATGGTGGTATAAAGCCATAACTGCCTTTGACACCACAAGTCTGGTGCATTTGTGAACATTGAGGGGTGATTATTTAAACTGAATTTAGCCATCATCTAATGTAACTGCATTCTAAGCCATTTTTTCAATTTAGCCAAACCTTTTATCAGAACATCTAGTTTAGTGAATAGTGTCAAGAGGGCCAAAAGCTAAGGAGAACATTTATTTCATTATTAAATAATAATTAAACCACAGTTTGAGTTTGATCTCGAGTAAATAATTGGCCTTAAGTTTGAGTTTAGATGAAAAAATATACTTTATAGTGTATTTTGAAGGTAGATATCTTATGCTATAAACCACATATTTATTTGGGACACATGTTGTCCTATAGTTAGGCAGGTGTCCACTGATAGCTTTGACCATTAAAGACATGTGCTTGTCTAAGTTGAGATGAATAATTCCTAAGCATCTTTTTGTATTGATCAGTCCACCAGACAAAATTTGTTCCAAGGAAAAGCCTTCTCCAGAAACCATTTAGTTTTTATTTCAACCATTTGAATTATTAATGCAAGTCATGGTTTGATATTCTATAAAGTAACCCTAATGTTCATCGCATGACCTTGAAGCAGCTGCTGTGTCCCAGGTTATCAAAGAAAATTATTCTTTTATGCCAGAGTACCTTTACAGCTCCAAATTGCTGCGATAGACTTCCAACAGCAGGGAAAACAGGTTTGAACCCTAGTTCAGAGAAAGTTCGTTGACAAATTCAAAAGAAAGCATCCTGCTCTAGTCTTTTTAATTTTTTTATATACTTTTTTAAGAGTTAGTTACTTGCCTGGTTGTTAGCTCACATAATCAATAGGAGGTTGAGATGTGTAGCCTGAGAATTTGGTCCAATAAAATGCAGTAAGTTTTCTCCCTCTAGTAGGTTTTATCTGTTGGTGGGTGGGAGGGGCCCTTA